CTGAAATACAACGACCATACAGTGCTTTTCTCACTATGTCATATTTCTCTAACACTGATGGTTTTCGAGATTCAGTAATATATTCTTAAGCAATTCACAAATGGTATTCAAAATAAACAATATGAAAAAAGTATACAGTATGTGATATGTAAATGTTGACATACGAGTACAAGTAAGATCTGTGAAATGAAAGATATCGAAAAGAAACATTTTACTTTAGAGAAACAATTCACTTTGAAATCATAATTATTAGACTGTGAACGATAGATATGCATTGAATTTAATCACTTGATGATTTCACTTACTGTCTGTGTGGTTTGAATCTGAGAATATAAAAATAAATATGAAATGGTCAACAGAAAACATGTCAAAAATCTTGTTGTTTCATTAAAATTTATTTGATAAATTGAAACCCAATTCGTTATTTCAGAGTCCTGCTTGATCACATCGTGTCTGCTAACTGTACGTCTCCACTAAGCTCTAGTCTCATTTAGCGCTCAGTGTTATCATATGTACGTGCGTGAACGATCGGATGAGTGCGATCTTGCCTACAGAATTAGATGACTGCGTCAACTCCAAGTTTACTATTAGTGTGTTCAATTTTCACTGCGCTACATATTTTCTGTGTTCCAATGGATTGATAGTTTAGTAAAGAGATAAACAGAATAAATTGACAAACTATGAACATTTGACTTACATGAGCACACGATTGGAGCTGAAAATCATTGTAGAATAAACCAGTTACAAACATGTTGAAACAGTTTCTGAACATTATTCTTAAATTTCTTTCACAAAATGATTTTTATCCTTTAAAAACTTCATACGTACAATAAAACTACAAATGTTAGTCTTTCATGATGCAGAGCAAGTGTACCACTGCCAACAAGGTGATGTATTCTTCTCTTACATAAGGAAACGATGAGTTCAAGTGAAGGTTATCAGTTTCATTATGTAAGGTTATTTTCTTACTCTATACGGAAATATGCTATGCACCGTGACTAAAGTTGTGAAACAATTTGAAGTGTAATGGTGTATATAAATGGTAGAAATAAGGATCTCTAGTTACTGTGACTCTATCAACAGTGATTTGACATTCATTCTTCGTTGATGAATAATAAATTTGTTTTTTCGTGGTCTTTAGAATGGTTTGTGAAATTTGCGTTTTCAGATGGAACTTTCACAAATCATTCTTTGTAAACATGACAAGTTTGTCACATCAACAAACTTTAAAATGTTTTGCACTAAGCAATTTAGTGCGTTTACTACCTGGATGTGAAAATATGGTGAATTGTGTGTCAGACATTTGTAAACTTATAAAAAGGAGGAACGTCCTTAGTCATTCAGTATAAAATAATAACATGAGCTGATCATAAAAAAATTTCTAATCAAATGAAATTTTAATCTGGTCATTCAATTTACGATTTGGGGTGAAATCACTCATAATAAAATAAATTCATTTATAAAATTGTTTAAATGATTACGTCTTTATCTATAAAAAAACATATCACTGATGAATCGCATTTCTGTAACATATCGTGGCAGTTTATTGCTGTGTAACGGTGATCATCTATCTTGTAATCTAATGGTTTTCCCTATCGATCAATAGATCTTTCTCTTTTCCAATTCATCTATCAATTCCCTATCTATTTATCTATCTATTTGTGTATCTATCCATTTATTTGAAACAAATACTCACCACTCGGATGCTTATGGGATGCTATTTGGAAATAAAATTAAAAAAAAAACAATAAAATCAGTATGAAATTTTTGATTTGATCTAAATTAAGTTAATGAAAGCATTATTTTAAAAGAATATTTAGTAAATGATAAATGTTAGTCATGAATAAACATGGAAAGGTACTTACTGCTTTTCTTTTGTGGTACACCTGTGACAAAATGGTCCAATAAACAATCATTAGATAAGTTTAAAAATAATCACACTTAACTTGATACACAAATGTTTCTTACATTTGGAAAGGTAAAACAATTGAGAAATATATTTTTACATATATAAGGCAGATATAAGGCAGAATTCAATATGATCAATGATATATAATCAGATTAGGATCAAATTATGCCATATGATTTTGTGAAGTACAATCTGCCTGTAAAATCAACTGAATTCATTAAGGAGCACAATTTGCTTATATTATTTTACATTTATTAGAACACATTGACAAGGATTTCCATTCTCGGAACACTTCGCCAGTGATTAACATTTGTAGTGCCATGAATCTGGGATCGACTACTTATTTCACTTCAAACTGTCGTGAATACATTGTATTACGGATTCAGTAAAATTAATACCACGAGGAGTAGAACATGATAATGTGAGCATTTTCACTTACTAGTCGAATGAACAAAGCTCACTCCTCCTTAGCACCAGAAGATCCTGTCAGTCGAAGCTTATGATATCAATGCAGACCAGGTGTCAATGGTTCGTCAGACGATCTTGAGAGAATGTCATCTATTCGAGGAATGGGCTTCAATATAGATGTTCAACACCAGTTGGCAAAGTCATGTCAACAAACTGGATGAAAATATATTTCATTAGTTTTCAAAAATAAACTGCCGAAATACCTATCACCAATCTGTGTCATATGTCTACTGTAGTCTGTTTTCATTCACTAGTCATTAAGACTTCATGTTTTGTAATCTCTCGAAAATTTCAAAAGCCACATATTCCTCAACAGTATGATAGTTATTACAAACAAAAATGCATTCAGAATGAAAACATCATTATGCTTACTTACCGAGTATAAGTATACTGAACACTTGCACCACACTTAGTATCAACAAAGCCTTGACAATTGAGAATTGCATGGTGTTACACAAGTGATTATTCAATAAATTTCTCATCACTTATATACTCTGTTTTTCAACGAACAAACTCATGACTGAACAAAATGATTGGTTGGTCGACGGAACGTGAGTGCATGCTGAACACGTATATGTGAAGAAAATTATACGAATTCTTTTCGCACGTGTAAGTTCAGCTAACGTTTGTGATGAGTCAGAGCGATGAATAAATTGTTCGTGACTACGAAAGAAAATTCATGGATTATAATTACATATTTCTCTAATTATATATTTCTCAAATATTATGCATACTTGTTACAGTAAATTAATTAGATTTTGAAGCCCAAATACTCTTTGCATCATAGGCTCTCTATGGATCCGTAAATTATTATCAAACAGATTATCAATGCAATTTGATCGTTGGATTATTGTTAAGGTCTAGCCTATCAAGATACACTTTTGTCTCACGCATTCACAATTGTTATTTTCCACTTATTGTTCTGATGTTTTCTGGTTTTGTAATTGCACAAAAGAATGTCTGAAAGGCAATTAGTAATTTTTGACAGGTGATCACTGATGTTTTGTCCTTGCTCTGTGTTCGAGGGTAGTTAGTGTTTAACCAATTTTCAAGCAAAGAAACGCAGTTCCGTCCATTTTGCAGTTGAATGATTGTTCGAAGGTTGTCTCTATGTATTGGTCACACATGACGTCAGTATTATGCAGAACTTTTTCATTATTGGTCAGCCCGATAACATCTTCCCATCCTAAACCATCGCTAGTTCACAAGCTATAATACTTACCTATGGATGTACTTGCCTACTCCGTAATACCCGTTACCCCTTATGGAGCATAGGCTGCCGTTTAGATTCTTTCAACCAATTCTGTCCTTCGAAATCTTAACCAAGTGCTGTTTACTCATTTACTGTTGTATGCAGTTCTCGACGCAGAGGTTTATCTTACATACCACTTTTCGTTTGTCCTTGAGGGTTGCTCAGTGATCCATTTGATTGATTCTGTATGTGTGTCTTGTCCACTGCCAGCGCTTTTCCTAATTTTACCTCAGTCGGAATCTGGTTTGTTTTCTCTTGTTTTGATATGACAAAAGTTGAGAAACCAAATATCTACTACAAAATAATGTGCTCCGTATGTGAAATACACTGTTCGGGAAAATTAGACGATGATAATGTAACAGTCTATAAGCCATACGTGTAACATTTCGAAAACCGTACTTAAAGCCAAAGTTTCTGATGATGTTGCTGTTCAGTACAATAATGAAAGTTACGTAAACAGATCATCCAGTCCAGATGATGAAGCGACATGACAATATTCCCTTTATTCCTACATTTATGAGTGTCATTCTTTAAAGTATCATGATGTTCATTATCTCACTCAAATCTTATTGAATAGAGCGGCGAGTATCTTGTATGTTTCTGCTATGTTTGTTCTCACTGCCATAGATGGTATTTGGTTTATTCTAACCACTTTGTATTCTGTTGATTCATCTGATACTCACGCTCTTCTTTCCAACGAACGCGTTAAGTCAGCTACAGGTGGGAGATTTGTAGTTGCTGCTTTGATGATGGGTCGGCTCACTCCTTTATCAGCTCCATCAACCTGTTTATCTGTGCTTCAGAGTCAGTGATTCGTTTGTGCTTCTGTTTTTCAGACTGTCCGTCCTCGTTCATTACATTTTCCAGCGATCTAGTTCATTACATCTTTTGATTGACAGATGTTTCCTTCTTCTGCAGCTAGATGTCCTCCATATTTTACTTTATTAGCTCTAATGCTTCATTTCAACTATATGTTTGTCTCTATAGATTTAGTCAGTGACTTTGATATTTCTTCTTTTGTGCATCAGATACTCTCAGTAAGGAGTAGCAATGCAGAACTAATTAAAATGACCAGTAGAATATATGAGAGAATGAAGCAGACGAGTCCGTAGATGCATACCATCACAATAGACTGCCGGGCTGCACACAGTCATACAGATCTAAATGGAGGCAACAGACAAACAGGTAAGTTGGATATCGGTAACGACTGCAAATGTAGATGTTCATTTGATGCTCAAGGCCGAATGACGGATGTGCAACCTCTAGTAGACACAAGAAGAGATTAGAAACGGAACGAGCATTTGAACTATGACCGTAGATTAATGATAATACGAGTAATCGCCAACACCCTGTCTATGAGTTTGATAGTATGAAAGACAGAAGAAACGTTTGCAAGTACCTCTGAAAGAAGGCTGTAGGTTTGACAGGAGTTCCATCTGACAGCATTGATCTTAATCTATTAGTGCAGCATCACATTGTAACCCTAGACAACGAATGCTAAATCAAAACGATCGTGAAACAAAATATCCACAAACAGATGAATTGTGGTATTATAAGAACGTTTAACGATCTCTGAGCATCCCTGCTGCACATACTTCAAAAATGAATTAAGAAACCAGACCATGTAGAGATCACGGAACCGGAGCTAATAATATGGCAACGTGTGGATTTACTGGCAAGTCACTCCACATGCATAGTATATATATACCAAGTGACGTGTGAGCATGCAGAATAAACAGCTAATCATTGAGTCTCTTTCTACAGAGTGTCATCTAATATTTTAACCATTAGAGGATATCACTTCAAAGGCTACCTGTTACTTCAACTCACAGGACTCTTCGAAAACAAATGAAAAAATGCTACTTTACGACTGAACATTCGTTTGATAATAACTGTCCTAAAACACAAAACGCGAACCAGAATCAATGATCGTCTGTCTAAAATTCTTTATTATCTTTCAGACATTTGTTTGTTTACACACAAAACCTGACCGCATCACACCAGTTATTGCAAAATAAAAATTGTAAACGGGTCGACCGAATGTATCTGTGAGTAACCGTGGCATAATCAACATCCTCGCAAAGAAATTCCAATGGTAGATCCTGTGATAATAGTTTGTGGAAAAAAAATATAAGAAAAATCTTAGGGCTTGACAATCTAGTTCCTCAATAATTATATGGTATTCATAATATTAGAAAAATAATGATTATCATCCATGAATTTTCTTCCTCATTAATTATTACTTGATACTTCGTTCCAACATTTCGAATTGTTTAGTTAAATTTATGTGAAGAAAAAAGATTAGCACATTGGTTTACATATGTAACAACAACACTGGTTGAACCGATCAGCTTAGTCTCATCAGCGTACACGTTTATCACACTGTACATAATATAAGCAATATTGGTAATAATCACTACAGTCTTGTGAATAAACTTTTCTCTACACACAAATGTGCCAAACACAACGTCAAGTGTAGTCGATCTATGAATCGTTTGTTCTTTCATGTTCATAATTAGACAAGTCCACATTGAAAAATGTTGGAAGTTTGAGAAATATGCGCTAACATGCAATCAAATTCATGTATGGAGGAAATCAGCGTGATGAGTTATATCGAAAAACAGATTCAGAATAAATAAGACCACCAGATTCTAAGAGTTTCAATTAATTAACACATCTAAACATCGAAAATCGCTTATATGCCGAATGATATCTTCACATAGAATAAGTTGCATCGCCTCAACATTTTTCAATCCATGACACACATAACTCGTGCCCACTCACAACCTGTACACCGATCACCGATCACTTACGTGTGCATGTGATACCTAGTGACATTTCTTGTAGCGTAGATAGATCCGTTACAAGCATGTTGAAGTGTTTGCTTGTCTCGACTAGTCTATGTGAGAATGACTCAAATGTTGGTGCTGACAAAGGCGAGTCAACCACTGATAACTTCATGATGTGGTATTTTCACGTTTAATGAAGTGTAGCGCTCAACAAAAGCTGTCGGATCCATTATATATGGTTATTTCCAATCTCGTCGTAAACTTTATCTGTATCTTACAAGACATAATAGTTTGAAATATTTTAAAGTGTGTTCGTGTGATATAGGGTGAATGAAATTTTTGTTTTCACTCAATAAAACTGCATGGACAATGGTTTGAAATTCGTGTTTCGTTGATTATTATTCAATGAGTAATCGTATGTTATTCAGAGCAGTTCAAGACCTACCATTTCTCAGATTGAACTTGTGCAAAATACTTTTAATAATCTCGTCGATATAAGTGCATGAACAAATGTTTACCAGTTGAGCGTCAGCACACTCACTTGTATCAACGGCCGTCCAGTGCTTCCAGGTTTCTAATGTTGGTCTGACAATGATTGATTGATAATTGCAAATTTGTAAAAACACAAATCTCCAAAACTCTGCCCAAAAATTGCTGAATATGTTAAGTGGTGTATTTGTTAAGTTTCGCCACGAAATCATCCTTCATAGACCTCTCATTTGAGAAATAAACAGACAAAATGCGATACTGTGATGCCTAACGATTGATAGCAATTTTTTGAAAAATATTTCGATTAACTGCATTACATCAACCATGATGAACTGCATGCTACAACGTCGAACAATATTGAGTAACAAATGTTATCCTGTTGTGCTGTGGTGCGAACTACTTATAAGTAGTATATAACGTGATTGTCAACGTAAATTCTAGTAGCATAATATGGGGGTAATATCAAAAATTTAGAGTTAGAAAATAATGGAGTTTGTATGAAACGCATGAATAGTGACAATGGATTGATTTTTGGCTACAGTAACAGTCCAGTTCCATAGGATAAACTGATCTTTTGCAAATGAACAGTTTGCGATGTGGTTTTCCGATTTTACTGAGTCACTCTGTAATTTTCGCTAAATATAATTCGATTTCCCCACCTGTATTCTGATTCACTACATTTGGTGTCGCTGCCTACGCAAAGGATGAAAACCCGTGGGTGAAGGAGTTTGAGGATGGGGATATGCGGACCTTCCTGAAGGAGTTTGGGGGAGCTAGTGGGGGCGAAAGAACCGAAGGTGAATTTGGTGGTGCTCGGGACGCTGCTGAGAGTAAGTGCGAAGGCAGTATATGACAGCTGGGACGGTGCTGAAGACTCCAGTATCAATTTAAACGAATGCCGTCCGGGTTGGCTGGTGCACCGTTCACGTTTAGAAGATTGATGACGCTGCTGCTTAAGAATCTAGACAA